GGACTGGGTGACCCACAGAGGTCCCTTCCAACCCCTACTATTCTGTGATTCTGTGATTCTGTGAACTACTAAAGAGAAAAGCTAACGCGTCTTCCTCACCTCCACCTCAGCCAACGCCAAAGCCACCAGTCAACTTTTTGTAGCATCAGCTTACTTTTCTCCTCGTTCTTTGAGCAATTCTGCAGAAGTTGAATGTTCTCACAGTCTCACTGTGCGCTCACCCCATCAGACACGGGACATCACTGCCCATGAGCAATACCTGCTGGGAGGAGAAGAATAACCCCCCAGGTTACCCATTAACCAATTGCTACCGGTAATTAATGTGCTGTGTGTACAAAATACAGATGTCAACGAGCTCTACCCAGCCCAAGACTGAGCGCGTCGCACCTACAGCAGATTTTAACTACGGAGCTGCCCACACACAGGTACATGTGCAAAGGGCATGAGCAAGAAATAGCAAAAACCTTCTTCCAGAGGCTACCGGATCCCAGGAGCAGTACCTGCTGCCTCTCGCTGGCTGGGTCTATCGGTGAGCGCGCTCCCAGTTGGTGTGTTGTGTGTGGTGACCTGGACAGGCTGGAGAGTTGGGCACAGAGGAACCTGATGGGGTTCACCAAGGGCAAGGGCAGGGTTCTGCACCTGGGGAGGAACAACCCCAGGCACCAGTACAGGCTGGGGCTGACCTGCTGGAGAGCAGCTCTGTGGAGAGGGACTGGGAGTGCTGGGGGACGACAGGGTGACCATGAGCCAGCAGCGTGCCCTGGGTGCCAAGAAGGCCAATGGGATCCTGGGGTGCATGGAGAGGAGTGTGGGCAGCAGGGCGAGGGAGGTTCTCCTTCCTCTCTACACTGCCCTGGTGAGGCCCCATCTACAGTGCTGTGTCCAGTGCTGGGCTCCCCAGTTCGAGAGAGATGAGGAGCTAATGGAGAGAGTCCAGCGGAGGGCTATGAGGATGAGGAGGGGACTGGAGCATCTCTGCTACGAGGAGAGGCTGAGGGAGCTGGGCTTGTTCAGCCTGGAGAAGAGAAGGCTGAGAAGGGACCTTAGAAATGCCGATAAATATCTGCAGGGTGGGGGTCAGGAGGACAGGGCCAGACTCTTTCCAGTGGTGCCCAGCGACAGGACAAGGGGCAATGGGCACAAACTGAAGCAGAGGAAGCTCCAGC